ATATGTATATATAGAATATTGATGCTCAGACGAAGCGATCATCTTGTTTAAGGATCCTATTCACTTTAATTTTTAATTAAAATATTTCTGAGAAAGAAATATTTCGATAGTAAATCTCGGATTTCTCTAGCTTTTTTACTCTAGCTTTCGTATTTAATTAAAAATATTCTTATTTTGTATATCTATTTATATACGATTATTCGAAATGATTGCCAAAGTTTCAATTTCTTGTAAATAATGCATTTAACATTTATAGCCATACTGAGAGATAGGTAGTTTGATTTGAATCCTTTGCTATTCAATAGCTTATGTGTTTAAAGCTTTGTATATCGCATTGGCCAAGTTGTTCAATGTGATTTATTAATTCCTTCTTCATCTGAAATTTCAGAACGATTTCTATCATCGTGGATATAAGATTTAAGCTGCTGAATGGCGACAAATTCGGAACAAAATTTCAACAGATTTGCTATATATAGGGCTGTTCTTTTTAGCTGAACCTCTAACGCGGTTCATCTTTCTCCCTTTAAAAATTAAAGCGAATTTATCTGACACTTATTTATCTAACTTGCAGGCAGGTACATAATAGCTGAATCTTCGAAATAATTATGCGCTTTGCATATATTAATCGATAATTTAATTCATGGTTTTATATTTTTTCAAAAAAGTATTAGCTACAATTAATATTGTACAAGTACGATTATATATTATAGAATTCGCTTGTAATTGCCATCAAATTAATAATAGATATAAAACTGACTTGTTATATATCTCATAATGCACATCTCTTTTGCAAAAATGAGATTTTATCATAATTAGCAGAATTGTATTGTATTTAAATAACGATTCGCACAAAAATACTATAATAGAGTAAGAAACTATAAAGATCTTCCATGAGACGATTGCACGCAATTAAGATCGTGAATCGGAAGCCGATTATGTTGTAAATATATTAGATATTAGCGCATGACTTGCAAAAAAGTAATATCTCATATATTTTTTACATTATATATTCATATAAGTATCAATATTAATTATAAATCTTGATGCACATATGTGACAACAGATGTGTTTGACAGAGCAATATATCATAAATTTAACGATTAAATCATGAAAGTCAATTTAAAACTTTCGCGATAGATCTCCATAATACATATTCTTTAGAATTTATACGTTTATTTTTCGTTCAAAAAGAATATATCTTTTAAAAAAAATATATTATATATTGATATTTTAAAAATTTAAATAATTCACGAGCGTAAACGATATTATTTCTACAAAATCAGCACAACAGAAGATATGTATATAATAAATGATTATTAATTTATAGTATAGAAGCAATGTTTGTAAGCAAAAGAATTTTAGTTTTACTTTTAAAATATGCTTATTTTGGAAAAATAGAAATATTATTTAAGGAAAAACGTTATACTTGTATATACATTCATAAAAAGAAAATATCATCAGAGAAAAAAAAATATCATCAAATCCGAAAAAATTCTGATTAAATTTGACTAACAGACTTCGATCTATATACATTTGTCGTCGGGTATTTGGTATGATGGACCATGGTGTGCGTTGTGACTTCCCACCCAGCAAACGAGAATGAATTAAAATGAATTCAGATTTTCAAAAATATTGATTCACAAATGTTAAAATGAATGCTTTTCAATCCTAAATACATTTTTATTCATTTATAGGAATTGCATGGAGCACATCTCTATGTCTTTCAATCTAAAAACAATATTAGCTTTTTCTGCGTACAACACACACTTTGTGAATACTGTTTAATTCAAAGTTTTGAATAGGAAATGCAGTTTTTCAATCCAATTGTATCCAATTGAATCTCATTGAATTCAATTAAATCCAATTAAATTCAAAAAAAAGTATATTCGCTATTTAAAATACGCATTCGGGTAGAAAAAAATTTCAATTCATTTTAATCCATTCTCGTTTGCTGGACATCTGTAGAAAATAAATAACAAATATTTTTCTCATTATAATATAAATGTATTTTAAAAATAATTATAATTAAGTGGTTATTAATTTCTTTGTCATGTACCATTCAGTAATCCTAAATATTTACTTTACGTTATATATCAATACAAAAATTCTAATATTCTCTCATGTAATATTTTTTATAACATTATGCCGTTCAATAATACATTTCGTTTCTAATTGTACGGTTTTCATAATAGCAATTTTTGAAACTTTGGCTGCGTTCAGCAGAACACAATAAGTTTTGCAACCGTTTTATGGTTCTCTGCTGAGATTGGACTAATTCTCTTGATCTAAAAACATAACCCAAAGAAAATCGTTCTCTACGGGGTAAAATAAATTTTTTCGTAAATGTCATAATAACCATCGTAAAATATGGATTTTTTTCTTACAAATTAAAAAAAGAGCTATGTATTTTTTTTAATTGTACGTCAAATTATGCAAATTTCTAAAAAAAAAAAAAAGAAAAAAAACACGTCCTTATTTTTTAAAAGATGCCAGGTAAGGATAGATTCAAAATATATTGAAAACTCCGTAAAACATTTACACTTTATTCTAAAACGAAAAAAAAAAGAAACTTTTAAGTGCGATCGTTTTTCGCAGTCACGCTTATTTGAATTTGTGTGAAATTTTAATATAAATTTATCTATGCGATAATTTTGTTGACCAGTGTTGCGTTAATTCTATTCTGTCAACTCGAGTATCATTTTATCCTTGGTTACCGAATATTGAATAAAGATAAAAGATACTCGGAATTGACAGTCAAGTTTTGGTACCCAGTGTATTTACTCATTACAAAACATTGAGATATCTTATTAGATATGATAAAGATGTCTTAAAATTCACAAGACTTTTTTGAAAGTATCAGAATGACGTCTATATAACATCTTTAAAATATCTTATGCGTCGATTTATGACGTCCTAAAGACATTATTCTTAAAATGTTTTACAGACTTGTCCTGATGTTTTACAGAATTATCTTATAATGTCGTATAGGCCTTCTACAATAAGCCATTAGTCATAAATCAGAAATCAGATCAGACGTTAAAAATTGACCAATCATAGTCGTCAATTTTTATTACTTTTATTATGTCCATTAGAGACATTGATCCTTATGACATCTTACGGACATTATCTTTAAGACTTGCTTCAGACATTGTCTTAAAAAATAAAAATAAAAATTACTGATACGGAAATACGTTGACAAAAAGAAGTATACGAAGCAGAAGTTAGGAATTATCTGATAAATCGGTATGTGAATGATATATCACACTTAAGGTATTTTTCCGAGAAATTGAGTTTCTACAGATTCTTTTTTGAAATTTGGATATTATGTTTAAAATAATTTTATCTATATGTGTTTAAAATTTCAAAAATCTTAGCGGTACCGAAATGGAGATATTCACTTTCGAAATTTCAGCTTTAAATAAAAATATTCTGATTACGTCTTCAATTGTTACGTAATTAAGATTGATTACATATTCGCCAATTCTTTTTCAATTGATATCATCAATAGCTAAATCGCATGACCGTGTCATTGTATTTTTCAGATAATTCTTTATTATTTCTAATTTTAAAAAAGATGCCTCTGCCACATAAGATCCATAATGCTCTATTGCTAAATTTGGAAAGATTTCCAGAATCCACTTTTAGCTAATTCACTTAAAATATCAAGTAGAGCTTTATATTTACAAAAGTAGCGCCTATTAAATTTTGTGCCCTTTCAAATTTTGCGCCTTATGCTGGAGCGTATCTGCTTACTTAGTGCCTCGTAACGCCTCTGCTCTTCAGTGCTTTCTGTGGCTGCTTTCCTTTTAGGAGACAATGGTTGACACACAAATGTCGTTCTTTGTTATTTGTTGAAATGTTAAAAAGGAGAGAACGTTAGTGTCTCCTAAAAGAAAAGCAGTTTTTGTTACTCCTAAAAACGATGCAGAGACAGAATGACATTTCTTCGATTTGTATCACCAGTGCCCATTTCTACCAATGTAAATTAACTTTAATCTCGGTTCAATTTATTCTTCATCTTCTTTTTAATTTTTACAATTAGAAAAAGATATAATAAAATAAAATTAAACTTATTAGAAACGAACATGAGTAATCTCACATTGGTTGGGTCTGATTGAGCTTTAGTTCCACCAAACGTAAGATTATCTTTAATCTTTTTTGGTTCAATTTAATTCTAAATTTATTTATTTCTAAAGAATTATAAAAAGATAAACAGTAAGTTAAACCGAGATTAAAGTCAATTCTACATGGATGGAACTTAAATTGAAAAACATCTCTAATCTCATACATAGAAAAGTCTAATGTGCATGAACGTTAAAATTTTTTATTTTTGCCGAAATTAATCATTAATCGTTTTCATTTTAACATTTTGTATATTTTAACAACTTATTTAACAACGCTGATTCGATTTACCTGTGAAGATTGAAGGGGAAAAATTGTTATTAGCTTTATCGTCTTCGTATGTGGAAACGAGGCCAACTTTTAGAAAAAATAGTCTGATGAGGATTTTGATAAGATAGAGCTTCTATGCGAGTGAATACCGAGAAGACAAATCTCGCATGGATAATCCTGAAAGCGGGACAATTTCGATCTCAAACTCGCCGAAATTACCACAGATATTTCTGGCTCACGAAAACGATCTTTACTTGTACGATAAGATAACACACGCGTTGCATATGTTCAAGTCGACAGGAGCTGCAAGGAGCTGCAAGTTTCTCTAGACAAGTGTCATTGCACAACTGATAATAATATGGCCATATTATTTTTTCGTGGGTACAAACTACACGTAGAACGCATCGAGTGATGGCATAAGGTGTATTATCTTAATTAAAATGACTTGATAAAGAACGATAGATTTATAATGGAGTATGTATATCAAAGTTTTCATATTTCACGTTTATGTACCAAATTTTGCTATCATTGAATGCCGTCTTTCTTTACGAGAGAAGGAAAATTTGGATTCTACAGCTACACTTGGTATTTTAAACATGGTACATGAATACATGCTTCAATTAGTTTATTAATATAATCTCTTCCCTTCATAGAGAAGTTTCTTAAAATGCTACAGATAATTTCAATCTTCAGACACAATCATACAATGTACAATTTCGAGTGATAAATGTTCTGCTACAAAACAATTTCTTTATCGATAGGTTTATGTATAGTATGTATTCAACTAGTCTCTTACTGGAAAACTCTCATGTAGGCTGCGTTCAGTGCTAAAAGTCTATAGTGCACGTAACGTATACTATAGATTATAGATTTTCAGTACTAGCAGCGAATATCGGAACACAGTCTGTATGAGAGTTTCTCAACAAGAAACACATATCGACATACAGGAATCATTTTGTCTTCATTCGATATATTGATGAATGAAAGAGAAAAACAAAATAATTCCTATGTCTTTTGTTGGAAAGCTCCCATTATAAGCTGAATAAATCACCTTCTGTTGAGTTCCGGCGGCAAGACACTCCAATCCTCGGTGTCATAGTAAGGCCACATAGTATGTGATAATGTTAAATAAATAAGAAGCTTACGACCAAAAAGAAATGCACCGCACAAAAATCACAACCTATATATCAAACAGAGTACCTACAGTTGCGCGATCAGTTTTGTACATTCTTTATCACTAACATAATAGAGCATCGAGACAAGGTGTGGACATTATCTCTTATCTCGGCGACTACCTTGATATCAGGCATTCACTCATACAAATCCAGTTCCAAGCAAGATCTGATAAATCATTTTACGTAAATTTTAGAATATTCTTAGAAAGAAATGAACGTTCTATCCTATCACCTGTGTGCGATACATTCTTTTTATATATCTAGAAGGAGATAATGTATATTCGATTAAAAAGAAATTTTTTATTCATAGAAACACTGTACATATGCGATATAAATATGTACAGTGCGTTAATACCGCAATGTATTATATATATTTATATATTAATATAAATTACCAAAGAATAGGGATGTCACAGCTAAGATAAGGAATTGTCGTCCTGATTACGAGGCGGTCGTATATCACTGTTTCTTTTGACGCAATCCACCAACCAATGTATGCCTTCGTCTACTCCATCCCTTTTTTTCAGATTATAGACTGTTATTTTATGTAATAAAAAGTATATTATTAAAGGTCCCGCTTAAGAAAAGATCCCTGAGATTATTTTGAGAAAAATTCTATTACCAAAATGTCAAGGGAAAATATTTTTTTTTAACATAATAAATATCAATGATTAGAAATATATGATTAGAAATAGTAATTGTATCCTCGCATATATAATCTTTATATTGATATTTACAAGAGGCAAAAATTAGCTTTTATTTTCAGCATTTTGTGTCATACTATACTCGAACGTACAAATTTTAGGCGGTATCTTTCGTTAATTTTAAATGATGCAAAAATTATTATAGCCTTGACATTTTTTGGGATGAGAATTTTTGTTTTAAAATAATCTTAGAAGTCGTCCCTTAAGCGTTGTTCCAGTTTTTACGTTACACCCTGTATATACAATGTGTCCCAATAACTATTATCACCTGAAATATCTTCCAATCCATAAAGTCTAGGCAAAAATTCTTACACGGACTCCGATAATGGTTATTTATACATTGGGGATGACCCAAATTGAGAGTCGAAACATCTGTACTATTGATCAATACATATATATTGATTACCAGGGAGTTACAGATTTTTTAAAGTAACTCGTTACAATTATCGTTATTTATATTTTCGTTACTTTTCCGTTACTTTGTTAAAATCGATGATCATCAAACACAGCGGACGAGGAGCTTTTTAATCTCAAGCGCAATAAGTGGCTTATGTCCAATCAAATCGTGTCCAAATTGAGTGCAAAGTAATGATAAATGCAACTATAAAACTTCGTTACTGTTACCAAAAAAATATAACTACATTACCGTTATACAGTCACAAAAAAAAAAGTAACGCAGTTACTAGTAAAATTGCCAAAAAAGTAACTTGTAACTGTAACTTCATTACAAGTAACGAGTTATTTCCATTCCCTGTTGATTACACACGATCAACTGTGTCGGCTCCCATTGGCATTATCGTTCCCTTTGTTCGATTAATTTTTTGAATCTGTTTTAACCCTCAGTACATACAAGGAGTTAGCGTAACCCCACCCGATTTTCATAATTCAGGCATTCGAATACTGGGCAGTGATACTGAAAAGGGAAAAAACTTAAGTTTCACCTCTACAATTCCTTTGCTCGGCAGCCTTCTAATGCGCCATTAGCTACATAATTGTACGGTGTAAAGTACGTATTGGAGTTACTTAATCCTTTGTGGGTACAACATCAAAAAATCCGGACTTACTGCAAAGTTGAAATGTAAGTAGATATGATTAATTGCATTATTTATGATTTTATAGTGCACATCATAAAAAAATGATTTTAAGTCAATTTTATTGTGTTCTTAATATCAGAAAAAGACTTCTTCTTCTTCTTTTTCCTCATTAATGGCTCTGGCAGTAAATACGGTAAATATTAAATATAATAATAAATATAATAATAAATTGTTAATATTTACCATAGAAGAATATTAGGATTATTTTTTTTTATTTATCTCTATCAAAGATTTTCGGTTTATGATTAGTTTCCGTAAAACTGAAAAATCATTCATTTTCACTTTGCAAAAAAAAATATCGTTTTTAGAACAAATCGCAAAAACACTTATAATTTCTTAAAATTCAATTTATTTGTTGATTCATCACTAATAAAATCTTTTTTCATTTATTTATGACAAAAAGATGTTTTGAAAAAAATTCGCATTTGTTTTCATGTTTTTTTCCGATCTCTTTTCACTTATTACAAAATATCTTTTGTGCTATGACATTTTAGACTTTCTAACTTAAAAATTCTTTTTTTTCAGTCTTCAAACGATAGATTAAAAAAAAAATTAGTTAAAATCAACAATTGCACCACAATATGAGATACAAGCAAAAGAAAACGCTGGGTTACAAATACCTGGATGTAAATAGAGACTGCCACAGTTGTGTGTACTGAGGATTAATATTAATTATTTAAAAAAACGAAGTTGACCTTAAAATCTTTGCAGTGCCTTCATCTGAACAAAAATTACTACCGCCATCATATGATAGCCTCCTTCATACCGTGCAATTTTGATTCTACAAATTTTTTTTTGGACTTTATGAATTTAAAGATATTTCAGAAGGTTTTTGGCATATGTATATATACAGGGAGTATATACGTAGTTGCGAGATATATATGTATATATACAGGGTATCCCGAAATTTTTTTTCGACAAGCGCTTCTGTAAATAGAATGGATAAAACTGAGTCGAAAAGTCCTTTTTGCAATTTTCATAATAGATATTAATTACTAAAAATTGCCCCGAATATTGGTCTTCAATAATTTTTTTCTCAAATTATAGGAAAACTGCAAAAGTTGTTTATTTTTTTTTTCATAGAATTTTTTCAGAATTTTTTATCAATTTTTTTAGTACTGCATTTTCTTTTTTATATATATATATGTATATATATATATATAAAAGAAAATGCAGTACTAAAAAAATTGATAAAAAATTCTGAAAAAATTCTATGAAAAAAAATATATATATATATATGTATGTGTGTATATATACATATATTAGTGATTATTTTTACTAATTGAGAAAGTACAGTATTAAAAAATTCTGAAAAAATTCTCAGAACTTTATGAGAAGAAAATAAGCAATTTTTGTCTTTTATTGCTTTTCTGTAAAGTTGATAGTATTTGAGTGAATGATTATTAAAAACTAATATTTAGCAATATTAGTTTTCAATAATATTTAATAATTAATATCTTGTTAACTATTGCGAAAATTGCAAAATGGTAGAGGAATTTTCGACTTAGTTTATCCCACTCTATTTACATC